TAGTTTGCTGAATGTGTCTGTTCAAATTACAAGGAGCAAGAGCAAACCAGGAAGCAGCCAGTCTGTTACCAGCTTTCACATGTATTCTTCCTGGTTTCCATTATGTGGCAGGAGCCCCACCCTCTTCTGCAGATCAAGGTCAAATACCCCTACCTCGAGAAGAGGGGACTCATCTTCTTACCTGCTGGTCTCTGGGCACATGGAATCCAAGCTTCTCTGGTGGCAATCGTAATGTGTAGAGGTGGGATCCTTGTGGTATCACATTGTGAGAGTGCCCCCTGTTGAGAACCAGGACCTCTGATCCTGCAGAGTCCAGAGATGTGGTGACAGCAAGTATAAAAATCCCCATCCTCCCTGCCCTCATCCCTGGCCTGTAGAAAAAAATACTCTCAAATTTCTTAGGGTGGCATTGTTCCCTCTTACCAGTACATTCCTGACAGCTTGGGTGAAAGGTGAAGCTTCTGGGTCTTCTTGTGGGACATAATACTCCGATGGATCTTCTGGCCTCACACCATACCTCCTTTCCACATGCCCATTTCCTTCAGCTTCTTTATCCCATCCTCTACCATCCACCAGGGCAACAAAGTCAACCTCGTTGAGAGCCACACATTACTTTTTCCACTCTGTATAGGGTGACCCCAACAGTTACATTGTCCCAGGCCAAGGGGTCCTTGATAAAACTACATCCTGAGAACATGCCCACAAACCAATGAATTTCTCCTTAGCCAGCCTGACATTCTAGTCCTTTGATCAAGCACCATCAAAATCCAATCCCAGAACTGATGCTCACACTCCAACAGGTACATGCTAGCTAGTTCTTGCCAAGCTCATAAGTGGATATCAGTTGTATCATTGGGGTGAAACTTCTGCATAGTGGAAGAGTTAGTCATTACTAGAAAACAGTGAGCCTCCTCTGCATGCCCAGAGGGTCCTGAGGGCATCCGCTGGAATAATCATCTCCCATTTTGCAGAATCTTAGGGTTTCCCCAGCAGTGCCTTGACTTCCACAAAACAGGTACTACTTTGGCTGAGTGTACAAGCATCTTTGGAGTTCTGTGACCCTCACAGTTATGTCTTCAGCTGCCATTCAACTCTGTCTGCTATTCGTAAACATGAAATAAATACATCCCTATAAGATACTACAGAGGATCTCATATTTAGCCATTAATTGCTGATAGCAAACATCAGATTCTCATTATCTTTCTATGGGGCATCAATACAGCTTAGCAGCCAACAGCCAACTCCACTGTCTTTGTAGGCATCCCCTGCCCCACGCTTATTATTTTTCAAAGGCTTCTATCATCTCACTTGCCATTGCATCCCCTAAACTGGGACACTTTCTCAGGTCACCACAACTGAAAGCTATAGCAGTTCAGCTGCCACGTTGTGCCTCACCTACAACCAGGATGGTATCCTCTCGGACTCTAGGAAGTGAATGAGTTAGTTTCAAATCTCCATATTTTCACCTGTGTTCTTTGGCCATTCCTAATACCCCTGTGTTTTATCACCATGTGATGAATAGACACAAGTACAGTATTAAAAATGCAAGGAATTTATTAACAGAAACACTCTGTGAGAAAAAACGGAGAACCAGAAAGCCTGGGAGAGTGAGCAAATCTCAATTAAGTCTGAATCGAAATGAGGAAAAGCAAGAAGGATGGTTGGCTGGAAGCGTCCCAGACTCAGTGCAAAGTAAAGGTGTCCGGGAGCCCTGGAGCCTAAGATAGCCTTCAGAGGAGGAAGAGTTCTGCCTTAGTTTCCCTGTGTTTCTGAATCACTGGCTGGAAGAAGTTTCTAAGAGGGGGATCTCAGAGCAAACATGGCAATATTGAGAACATAGTAGCCGGGGCTATCAGTCAATTAAGGGGATATTTTACAGCAAAGGGAATATAGCCATTATTTTGTAACAACTTTAAATGGAGTATATCTATAAAAATTTTGGATCACTATGTTGTACATCTGAAACTAATGTAATATTGTAAATTGACTACACCTCAATAAAACATTTTTCATTAAAAATGCAAGCATAATTTCATGCACCTCTCAATAATTTAATTGTAATTAATTAATAATTGTAATTTATAGTGTAAAACTGTTATATTCATGTCCAGTTGGAATAATTAACCTTCACTCACAAAAGAGATGGATCCTCACTCACCAGAAAAGACATCATGAATAGGAATTGTAACTCTTTGTTGTCCTCATCCCATTATTACACTCAAGATTCTGCCTATGAAACAAGAATCCATTGTGGGGGGTGGCTGGTATAACTCAGTGGTAGAGCACATGCTTACATTGCATGATGTCCTGGGTTCAATCCTCAATACCCCCATTAAAAAATAAATTTAAATATATAAGTAAATAAACCTAAATACCTACCCCCCAAAAAAATTTTTAAAAAATAATGTTACCCCCCCAAAAAAATTTTTAAAAAATAATGTATTGGAATGCTGCTGTCCAAAAGTCCCTTTTGCAATGATAGAAACGTTTTAGATCGGCACTGTTGATTATGGTACTGTTGTTGGCCACATGTGAATTTTGAGCTCTTGAAATAGTGTGATGGAAGAACTGGATTTTAAATTTTATTTCATTTTTATTGATTTAAATTTACATAGTTGAATGTGGACAGGGCAGGAGTAGAAAAATGAAGCAAAGGGTCTGCTATCGCTTTTTAAAAATTCAATCCATCATTGTCAACAATAGCTTTGCTATTATTACCACCTTTGGAACAAACCCCATTTCAATGAAAATAATGCTATTCGGGGGTAAAATTTTCTTATACTTGGCGGCTAATCAAATATCTGAACTAAATGAAGGACACATTCATTGTTGTTCTCTATGGGTATAGTAAAATAGTATTAAATTTTTATTCATATATGAAATAAAGTACTTTTCCAATTACACTTTTGCTGTAAGGTAAAGAAATTAGTCTAAATACAGTTTTCTATTGAAAAAATATCTTATAAATAGTTTTAACAAGCTGATATATTTCAAAAATTTTTATATAATCTAACTTTTAAATCTACCAATGCTTAAGAGAATGAAAAGACAAACTATAGACTCCGAGAAAAGATTTGCAAATGACATAACTGAAAAAGCACTGCTATCCAAAATATTCAAAAATAAAGGAAAAAAAGAATTAAAAAATAAAAACGGGAAAAGTTAAAAATAAAAAAAGAACAAACTATACAAAGAACCTAAAATTCAACAATAAGAAAACAACTTGATTTAAAATGGGGCCAAAGACCTTAACTGATCCCACCAAGGAAGAAATACACATAGCAAATGAGCATGTGAAAATATGCTCCACTTTACATGTCATCAGAGAAGTGCAAATTAAAATAATAAGGCAGTACCACGACATATCTATTCAGATGGCCAAAATCCAGGACACTGAAATACCAAATGCTAAGAGGAAGTGGAGCAAAAGGAAATCTCATGCATTGCTGATGGGAATGCAAAATGATACAGCCACTTTGGAAGACAGCTTGGTGGTTTCTTACAAAACTAAACATATGCTTATCATACAACCCAGCAAATGTGTTTCTTGCTATTTACCCAAAGGATGTGCAAACACATACACACAGAAACCTACACAAAGAGGTCATTTATTCTACCTCGAGCTGGTTTAGCATAAAAGGACAACAGGACTATTGTGGTTTACAGAATTTCCTTTTAGTTTGTAATTCAGGAACTCAATATTGGCATTTACTTTTTGTTGATATTCCCTAAGCTTCATTGTATACAGCTTCAGTCAGATAGGATTGCACATAATTCATTGAAAGTTGCACTGCTCAAATTCAGATTTTAAATTAACATTATATCTAACCAGAAAGTAGAGTGAATTCCTTTAAAAAATAAAATACAGAAAAATTACAAGGACTTTGTCGATCTGACATATGATCTCAAATAGCAATGGTTAAATTAGGAACTGCTCAGCTACTTTCAAAAGATGTCTTTGGGGTGAGGGACGGGGAAGGGTATAGCTCAGTGTTAGAATGTTACGCTTGGCATTCATGACATCCTCGGTTCACTCCCCATTACCTTCATTAAAAAAAAAAGATAAATAAATCTAATGACCTCCTCCCAAAAAACCCATGGTTTTCAAAATGATGTTATTTTTACACAGCTTTTATGAGGCATCATTGATGTACAAAGAACTGCAAATATTTAAAGCATACAATTTGATGAGTTTGAACATATGCAAACACCTACGATACTATCACACAATCATGGGGGAAGGGGTCACTGTGGGTAGGGGCTGGGTCAGCCTTCTCATTTCTCACATTATGCTATAGGAACACAGACACATTCACATGCTCTCTACAAAAAAAGAAGTCCTGGCCTCTGAAGTCACAGAGTTGGAGCATGAACAAATCTTGCTTCACTCAGGTCCACACAAGTCAGCTGTCTCACACTCTAGAAGAAAACAACCAAGAATAAATTCAGGTCACTCACTGAACAAACCTCCACTACTCAGAATGTTCAAATCCAGAGAATCCCCACAACCCAGTCATGTCCTCTCGCTCCCAACCCCTCTCCCACTTCAGGCCCTCCACAGTCCCACTTTTAGATGCCATGGAAGATACAGTAGAGCTCTTGACATTGTCTCTGCCTGGAATAGAATAGAACACAACTATCGATCAGAGACCTCAGGAGATGAGACTAAAAGAAATATTACGGATGGGCACCCATCAACACTATCTCAAGGGTCTCAGGGTTCACCCCCTACACTCATCCATATTTACTTTTGGGAACCGTATCAAAATCCTCCTGGAGGTCTGTCCTTAGCTGCTGTTAATCAGATCCCCAGTACCAGAATCATCAAGGTGAAAATGTTTCCTCTTTTACACATGTGCTTTTCAAAAGAGTATTAACAAACTGGGCCCCAGGATGGGTAAATATATGTATGTAGATGTTGCCCTTCAGTATCGAGGCAAAAGATTGGAAATTTTGTCTTGAACCCTCACCCCACCCTGTAGCACAAGAAAACTCAGATCTCACCACTCCCTGTGAGCACTTCTGTTCCAGATCACTCTTGCAATTCCAATGGTCACGACTCCAAGGACAACTAAGATAATGCATACCAAGATGAAGGTGTTCGACTGAGGCTCTGGTTCTGGGAAGGGAAGGGAAAGTGAGGGCCCCTGACCACCAGGCCTCAGCTCTGACCCCACTGAAGTTCTGCAGAAGGGCCCCTGCTTTCTGTTTTCTGAGAAAAGGATCCTCCCCTCCATTTCCATACTCACCCCATCTCAGGGTGATGGGCTCAGGTAGCCCCTCGTGCTGCACATGGCACTTGTATCTCTGCTCCTCTCCAGAAGGCACCACCACAGCCGCCCACTTCTGGAAGGTCCCATCCCCTGCAGGCCTGGTCTCCACAAGCTCCATGTCCTGGATCAGGTCCTCCCCATCACGCTGCCAGGTCAGAGTGATCTCTGCCCGGTAGAAGCCCAGGGCCCAGCACCTCAGGGTGACCTTATGGTCAGCGATGGGGTGATGGGTTATATGTGTCTCTGGAGGAACTGAGGAGAAAGGTAAGAAAATTTAGGAACTTTGTATTAACTCTCCTAGCCACATGAAGTGAGTCTCATATGACCATTCTGAGAATAGAGAGGACAACTGGGTTGGAGGAAAAGCATGCAAAGAGAAGACACTGGCCTGGACTCCAGAATATGCAATAACTTTCTATACCTTGGAAAGTTCTAGAAACAGGATAAGACAGCCCAGGATAGGAGGCTCCAGGTCTCTGAGTGAGACAACACAGACTTCTGGTCCTGACCTGCGTGGAGGCTGAGTGACTCAAAAAACCTGGAGTTAGATCTCCAATGAAGCTGGGCATGGGGCAGCGAACTGGGCCTGAGAGAGTAGGTCACTAAGACTTTGGCCAAAGAAATCCGCTAATACACTATTTCAGATATCTCCTCCATATATGGAGAGACAGAATCCTTTAATTGTCCGGAGAGAAGGATGGTTCTGCTAGGATAAGATCTGAAAACCTCATCCTCTGGATCCAAGCAGGGGCCTGAAGAATTCTGGTGTCAAGCCCATTTTTCTCCCCTTTAGATTGGGCCAGTTGGCGGTACAGCCCCAGCCTGAGCTGAGATAAGGGAGAGTCCGCAGCCCGTCTACCTGAATACTGCAGCGTCTCCTTCCCCTTCTCCAGGTACTTGCGGAGCCAGTCCACGCACTCGGTCTCCAAGTATGCGCGGTACTGTTCAGCTACTTCCTCCGCCTCCCACTTGTGCCGGATGATCTGAGCCACCGTGCCCACCGCAGTCCAGGAGCGCAGGTCCTCGTTCAGGGAGATGTAATCCGCACCGTCGTACGCAAACTGCTCATACCCTCGAACAATGCGCCCGTCCGGTCCCACGTCGCAGCCAGACAACCAAAGGAGGCTGTGGGAATCTGCCCCGCCTCCGCGGTTAGTTAGCTCCGCCCACCTACCTAATTCGCCCAGCCGCTCAACCGCACCCACCCAGCCTCGTTCCGCGCCAGACCGACTCGCGGTGAGTGGTCAGAGTCCGTTTTTCTCCTAAATTGTAAACAAAATCCGAGTGAATCCCAGCAGGCTCTTCCCAGACCCAGGGGTCGGAGGATCTCCTGACCTCGGGATGAATCTCGGACCTGCGAATTCAGGGAGACCCCAGCTCGTCTAAGGGGATGCAGGGACTCGAGACTCACCAGACTCGCTATGGTTGTGGTTGCCAACGATCACCTTCAGGTTTGATCGTGAAACCTGAGCATGTTCTTTGGCTTTGGCAGTTTGCCAGTCCCAATAGTCTGGCCGCTCCCGTTCCATCCACCGCGCGCGTGGCTCCACCCTCGGATTCGAGAGGTCGCTATTGTACCGAACGAACTGCGTGTCGTCCAAATAGCCCACAGATGCATAGAAGTCCTTCCCGAGGCTGGGCCGGGTTTGCAAAATGTGAAAATACCTCAGCGAGTGGAACCCTGGGACAGAGAGGGGCCGAGCCCTGGCCCGACCCTCCTCCCGGCGCGAGTCCCTGGGTCCGAGGTGAATGTGGCCTGGAGGGGAGAAGGAAACGAGAGGGTACGTGAGACAGAAAGGGGGCAGTGGGAGACCCGAGTGGTGAGAAGAGAGGGCTGGAGGCTCGGAAGGGACAGGGGAGGTTCAGGAGGGCGCGAGGCCGAAGCGGGTCTGGCCCTGGGGGCGACAGCGACGCTTTTCTCCCCGGGGGGGCGGTCC